TTATATCTATTACGTAAGATACAGTTTGATTTAAGTAAAGGTGATAGATAGATGTATTCATAACAGCAAGCATTGGCTTGTGGGCAGACATTGTTCTTCTTTCTGCCTGAAGAAATCTTTTAAATGCTATTTGATTTATGCTATATCTAAAGTTCAAGCTGAACCTTTCTCATAGCTGTTCAAAAGTTTCCTTGGTGCAGTAATGAGGAAATATTTATAAAAATCAGTTTTACAAAGCTGCTTTCATAAGCTAAGTTTCTGTTCCTTTGTTTTTAAGCACCAAGGAGATCCTGACCTAGCCAGCCTTTCTATGAAACTTAAACTACTATAAGGCACATGAATTCTATCTTTATTCACTACATGTATACTATCTTTATTATAAGCTTCTGAATAAGGCAAAGGAAGATCAGGTAATCTTTTCATACTATTAGCCCCCCTAGGTGGATACCAGAGTTTTCTATTTATCCACTAGGCCACAAAAGGAGGCCCTTCTATAGTAGGCACAGGCTTATGAGTAAATTTCTTATCCTTTACTAATTTTTCTACTAACTGCGTGGGAACAGGAGTATAAACTGGTTCTAGTAATTCAGCTTGTTATAATTTATTCATAATATCTTTAAGAGGCGCGTCAAAAGGAATTTCTCTTAATAATTGTTCAAATAAAGGGTTTACGCATTCTGGACACATCAGGGTGACTAGAGCTGATTCCATACGCGGGGAATTTACTATGTTTTCCTCAGAGCCAATTTTGAGGAAATCCATTTGTATAGCGTTTACACTTACTAGAATTTGTGCTACCCAAATTCCCCCTACTAATAGGATCATTTCTAAGAAACCAATTATCCCTAAACACATGCCACGTCCTCGTTCTTGACGATGCATTCCTTGAAGCCTCTGTCCCCATCTCCGGACCTTGTCGCGCAGTAGGGTAGAAAGAAGACGCGGCACCTATCATTCCAGCACTATTTGTCGAAAACACTGTCCTTTTCCCATTGAACTATCTTGGAACTTTTGTCAAAATCAGTTTACCATATATGTGCACATCTATTTGTGAGGTCTTTATTCTGTTCCTTGATCGATCTGTCTATCCTGGCAACAATGTCATGCTCTTGATAAATCCATTTTGAACTGGTATTTTAAATGAATCTAAGATATGCTATAGTCGGGACCTAAGTATCTGTTACATACCAGGCATTTGGTGGTTTTGCTTGCTTCAATCCTGTAAGTTTGCTATTATTATATCTATTCCATAGATAAAGAAACTGAAGATCAGACAGGCTAAGCAATTGGCTCAAGACCATACTGTGAGAAATAGAATAAGAATTTGAACGGGGGTCTCTACGATTCCGGATCTCTTTCCACTTCCTTTTGTTTCACTCACTGGGAACCAGCAAACTGAGAAAGGATAGGAAAGATGGGTATTTTTCCAACTTCATTAGAGTGTTCATAAAACTTTTTCTCAAGAAAGTGAATTCTTAGACAGCCAGTTACTCAAACATAAATACAAACGTGCAATTATCAATTGTTTCTTCTGAAGTCATGCTATCTTAAATCCTGGAGATTGCAGCAACCTTAGTATGTTCTAGAAGGTATCAGTGAAGGAGTGATACTTTCATCCTATTTCCGTATTTTTCCATAGTAAAACAATTTCCTTTTGCTTATGTATACAGCTGATTCCTGGTCTTTTTTCCCTCCTACTTTATCCTGACACACAACTTTTTCCAGAACTTTGAGAGTCTTAATTTCCTGGTAATGTCATTTTCACCAGATGACCCTGGCCACACATCTCTGAAATTAGGTTAGCCGCGTCTGTGACTAAACTAAATTCGTGCTGGGATAACAGCACGCAGTGAATCTCATCGGATTAAACCTAAGTTTGAGTCCGGAGATCTGACCCAGCCTGGGCTCACCCGTGCTACGTGACTGG